TGACTATGGTCAATTATAGTCAATATTTGTTGTGTAAAATATGCAGGGCTGTTTTGTATGTGTGTTTTTATTTTACATAAATGGTAAATTTTTTTTCCCCTTGTTCCTTTTTACTCAAAACTATTTTAGAGTTCTCTCTTTACTGCCCTATGGATAGAAGTTTCATGGCTTCTGACAGTTGTTTTCTAGTATTTCACATTGCAGATGAAAAGTCTGCTGTCAGGTTGACTTTTATTTGTAGAAAACCCTTCTGCTGTCAAAAAGCTTGGAAGACCTTTTTATTTATCATCAGCATTCAAAAGTTCCCACAAGATATCTGAGTATCTATCTTCTTTCAACATGTCCTTTTGGGGGTACTTCTGGCTATATTGAGGGTTAGGGTCTGAGAAACATTCCTGTGGGGACATCTGACAAGAAGTTGGGTAAGAGAAGGTGTCTGGGCTAGAGTTGGGAGTCATCTGCATTTGGGTTCCAGTTTGACAAGAAAAACACGGCTGGATAAGATTAAAGATGGAGGAGAACTGGTCAAGTGGCGGTGAAAGCCGGGGGTTATCAAAGGGTTTCAAAAGGTTATCAAAGGTGAGCAATGTTATCTTCTGCTTTTTTTATTATAATAAAGTATTTCAAACACTAAGAAAGTTATAGATAAATATATGATAAATACCCAAGAACTCACCATCCAACTTTGTCAACTTTGGCTTTATTTATTTCAGTTTTTTTTTTTTCTTTTTTAAAGTAAAAGTCATTGTGGGGCTTCCCTGGTGGTCCACTGGCTAAGTAAGAATCCACCTTGTAATGCAAGGGACATCAGTTTGATTCCTGGTTCGGGAAGATCCCACATGCTGTGGAGCAACCAACTACTGAGTCCATACCCTAAAGCCTGCAGGCCACAGGCTGCAACTACTGAAGCCCACGAGCCTATAGCCGGTGCTCCACAAGAGAAGCCACTGCAATGAGAAGCTTGAGCACCAAAATGAAGAGTAGCCCCTGCTTGCCGCAACTAGAGAAAGCCCGCATGCAGCAACAAAGACCCACCAGTCAAAAAAATAAAATAAATAATTAAATCTTTTAAAAAAAAGTGTCCCATGGACACATATGTAGCCCCTTTATATTTCTCACCAGTTCCATTCACTGCAGTTAATTACTATTCTAACCTGGTGCTATCATTTCCATTCATGCTCTTACAATTCCTCCACAGTTACTTATCCATAAGCAGCATATAGAATGAAATGTTTTGCGTGCTTCTAAACTTTATATAGGTGGTATCACATTATACTTGTCATTCAGCTTGCCTCTTTCACTCAGCACTATGTGAGCGTTACATATGTAGCTACAGTTTATTAATTTTCAGATTTAGAGTATTCAGACTTCCCATGTGGCTCAGGCAGTAAAGAATCCGCCTGCAATGCAGGAGACCTGGGTTCAACCCCTGGGTTGGGAAGATCCCTTGGAGAAGGAAACGGCTACCCACTCCAGTACTATGGCCTGGAGAATTCCAAGGACCCTGGCAGGCTACAGTCTATGGGGTCGCAAAGACCTGGACATGACTGAGCAACTTTCACTTTCTTCAGAGTATTCAAAAACCGAATAGACCACAATTTGTTTTTCCATTACACCGTTAGCGGACATTTACGGGTCATGTGCTGTGTTGTAGCAGTGAATCCACTTCTCAACCTGTGATAAATGATGAATGCTTTTACAGATAAGGCACGTAAGGCTCAGAAAGGGCAAGCCACTGATCCAATTGCCACAGCCCGTACCTAGCAGAAGGACACCCTCTCTTCGCTTCAGGATCCTCTGGCCCTGACCTTGCACTGTCTCTTCTTCCCCAGGGAACTCAAGCTTCAGCCCCGCGGGAGGGTGCTTCTGGAGCTTTCCTGAGCGGCTGCTTTTCTGGTTGCTGGGAGCACACCTGGGGTTGGTACTGGGGAGGCCCCTGTCAATGCTCACCGCCTGGGTAGGTCCAGCCCAGGACAGGGCAGGCACACTCACGGAGCGGAGCTGGCCCCTGGCCTGCGAGGGCAGCTGAGAGGACACAGAATCCGGCCTGCTCCTGCTCCGGGGCTCTAGGTTTTCGGGAGACAGGACCCCGTCTTCTCAGTCTCCGCAGAGCTCCTCATACAGTGCCCTGGAGAATTGACGCCCTCCGTTCCCTCAGTGCTTCGTAGAGGTCTGGACTTGCTGTCAGGAAACACAGGCTGTGGTTTGCTCCTACATCTTACCTGCGTGACGTGATGCAGAAAAGTCACAGGCCTTTTCCGAAGTAGGATTATAGCCTCGGGGGTGCTGTGCCCTTTCACGGAGGCACCATTTTGCTTTTTAAGTGCCTGGGCGCTGCCCTAACAAGGCCTGGGGAACGCACCGCCACAGGAAAGCTTCAGGGAGAAGGGGTCCTCGTGCTTAGCTCTCCGACTGAAGGGCCAAAGGGCCAGGCCGATGGAGTGTCATTTCTCGCAGCGGACAGCAGGGGACGCGCGCAGACCGTGGGATGTCGGCACCGCCTCCGCTGGCTGCAGGCTGCAATCACATCCGCCGGGTCTCGGCAGCTCTGGCGAGAGCGCGCGAGGAGGCTGAGCAAGGAAGGAGCGGCCTTTTACCCGGGAGCTTAGTTAGGGGTTAGGATCAACTTGGTCGACAGACCCCTCAGAAACTCCGGGAAATGACGCCCGAGTCGGGAGGTGGTACGCAGCGCTGTGCCCCGAGGCCACTACAGGGGCAAGGAGGGACGTTGTGTCCGGCGTCTAAGATCACGGCTTTCCGGCTGGTGAAGTCAACGCTTCCTAACGGCGGGGGAGAGACAAGCATGACCCGCTGGTACAACTGGCTGGAAGAAAACAGCCAATTGCAGGATATTCTCAAATGTCAAAACAAAAAAAACTACGATTTTCGTCTGGTTTCCCTTCCCAACCTTGGGGCGGAAGGGAAGAAGGGACGGAGCGGGAGCTGGCGGGGAGGTTTCGAGGAAAGCCCCCTCCTCCTACGCAGTCACACTAGATGTCAGTGTGTGTGGCACCCCTCTTCCTGCTAGAGCATAACCCTTGCCAGCCTCAAATGTGCTTCCAGTCAAGACCCTTCTGTCCTGACAAGATGATCCATAGACTTATTTTTCTTTTCGAATTCCGAAGCTAATATATACATTTTGCATAAAAATTAAACAATACCAAAATTATTATTAAGAAAATGAAAGCTTCTCTATAATCTCCTAACAAAATAACCACCATTTTTTCAGGTTTACTTCTGTTCCATACATATACTAACATTTATTAGAAAAATTTTTACAAAAAATCAATGAATCAAAGTATTTTAAACTATTTTAAACTTGCTTTATTCCTTGTTTAATATCTATTGGACACGTCGCTGTGTAGGTATATATACCTCCACCAATTTTTAACAAACGGTTGCAGAGCATGCAAACGGTTGAGCCAGCCCACCACTGATGGGTTTTAAGATGGTTTTCTCTTTCCCCTCATGACAAGCATCCTCCTAGGTGCTGTGCTCCCTGCAAGCACTTTTTAGGAGAGATTCTTGTGTAACTCCTGGGATGAGAGAGAGGCTCATTTTGAAATGGCTGATGTTGCTGCATTGCCTTCCACAGGCTGCACTGTCTGTCTGCGCAGTATGTCCACCCATGGTGAGGGCAGCTTCCTGGTGGTTTTAGCCACAACCTCTCTTGAGATGAGGGCTTAACCTCCCAAATCTTGGAACTGGTAGTTGCCTGAACTTATCATTTCTGGAGGTTCCAGCAGCTCACTAAGGACTTCAGGAGAGGGTGAAAAGGAAGCTTGTCCAGTTCAGAGGTGTCAACAGCCAGAGAAGGGACTTCATAAGCTTTCCAAGAACAGGGGAGATTACAAAGTGGCCTCAACCTCCGAAGGGATCTCGGTGGGGTGGGGGAAGGAGCAGAGGAGCCAGTCAGAGGAGTGAGGAACTGGGTGGGGTTCCCTGGGAGAGAACCTGTGTCACTCCTAAGGGACAAGGGCCCTCATGGGTACAAGCACCTCCCGCACCAGCCCACTAACTTTTTAAGCTCCAGCTGTCTGGAGGCGGGGGCGGGTGTGGGCAGATCGTATTCACGGCCAAACTGCTCAGTTCTAAGAGAACATACAGCCCGACTTTGAAAGAGAAGAGAGAAGGTCAGGGCCCACCACAGAGGGGTCTTGGGATGGAATCAGATGCTAAATTGGAAGGGGCTCTGAGCTGGAGAAGCCCTAGAGGGCTTCCGGGAGGAAGAGACTGGATGCTTGCTGTGCCTTGGTGGGTGGTCAGGATTTGGATGGACCCTCCCAGAAACCTGAGCCAAAGCATGTTTACAGGAATGGCCATTCTGCTCAGGGAACAGGAAGGAGCACGGCCCGAGAGCTGTGGAAGGGCAGGAGGAGCTGTAGCTGGGGCTGTGGCAGAAGCCAGTGTGGGGTGAATTCTACAGCTCCCAGAATTTGTTCTGGGGTCCCAGACTGCCCTTCTGGCCTTTGGGTCCCTGGAAGCTCTGGGTTAAGAGTCTGAACATGTCCTCCGGCGCTCCTGGAGGCTTATCAAAGGCTCGCTTCCCAGAGCAGCGGAGAACTCAGACCGAGGGCGGCGGTCGGCGCCGGGCAGCGCGGGCCCCTGGACACAGGAGGCGCCGTCCTCTGCCGCAGGGCCCGGGGCTGCGGGCGTTTCCGCAGCGCAGCTCGCTCCCTGTGCTCGCTCGGCCAGGGGCCCACCGCTCCCCGGTCTTCACACCTCAACCTTTGCCTCTTTTTCCTTTCCCACCCCCGACCAGGAGCTCTTTGCCCTCACCCCACCAGGCAGATGGGGAGGTGGGGGTGCGGGGAGAGAGGAGAGTCGGAGGGACTAGCGCCTGGCTCTCCTCCATTCGCCCTCCCTCTTCCCCTTGTCCTCCCGACTCCACCCAGGGCCTGCTCTGTCATCCATGCCCTCCTTCTTTTTCTCATTCTCCCACCATGATCTATGGTACCAACCCAATTCTTACGGGAGTTGGTCTTCCACGTGTAAGCTTATTAAGGAGCAAAACTGATGAATATTTGAAGGAAGAAAAAAAAATCCATTGCTTCCCCGCCAGGCGCAGCTTGGCTCTGCCCCCCGCCCCCGCAGCTCGCGCGTGCAGGCGGAGCGTCCCCCGGGGGAGCGCGGAGCCCGGGGCGGGGAAGGGGCCGCGGCCTCCGCAGCCCTCGTGGGCGCCTCCCAGAGTCCCGGCCCTGCGTCGCCGCGGGCGGAATAGAGGACGGCGGATTGAGGCGGCCGCCGCGTGTTTGTCCAGCGCCCGCCCCCGCCGCCGCGGGCCCTAATCTCCGATACTCTTGCGAGTTGGCTTCCTGCCCCGGAGCCCCGACTCCCCGAGCAAACAGGGCGGCGCGGCGCTGCATCCGAAATGCGGCATTTGAGCCCAGCAGTGGAGGAAAGCCGGAGCCGGCCCCTCGGCTGTAATTGCCCTTCTCCGCCCTAATCCTTCGGTCCGGCCCCGCCCGCCGGCTGCGGCCCATTGATCAGCGCTGCAGTCGAGGGCTCCGGGAGGGGCGCCCCACCTCCTCCCCGGGGCCTAGGAGGCAGTCGGGACCCACCTATCCGTCCCCCACCTCTTGTTCTTAGAGCTCCTGCTGAGGTCAATCCGGCCTTGAAGGCGGAGAACGTCCTTGGAAAGGGCATCGAGGTTGCCAGGGGGAAAAATGGGCGTGGGGGGAGGGAGAGAACACCCACACCCTTGGTAGGGCCCGCCAGGCTGAGACCCCGTATCTCTCTGGCCTTAGGTGAGGGATGGGGTCTGACTGAGCTTGACACTGTGAGAGTCAGCTATGGAGCTGGGGGGCGTTGAGAGGCTCCTGTGTGCCCCAAACCACCCTCCAGGCCCCAGAACTTCTGCAGTTTTTTGAAGGCCCCACTTCCTGAAGTCTGCCAGAGGGTCCTGGCCGTCACTGCACCCGCATTCAGTCATTCTCCACTGAATGTGGAGCGCAGAGTGCCAAGTGCTCCAAGCTGGGAAATAGACATGATCTCTTGTATTATACGGGATTCCCTGGCAGCTCAGATGGTAAAGGTCTGCCTGCAACGCGGAAGACCCAGGTTCGATCCCTGGGTAGGGAAGATCCCTTGGCGAAGGAAATGGCAACCCACCCTAGTACTCTTGCCTGGGAAATCCTATGGACGGAGGAGCCTGGTAGGCTACCATCCATGGGGTCACAAAGAGTCGGACACGACTGAGCGACTTCACTTTACTTTGTATTATGCAGGTCCTTAACGAGAGAGATCAGAGCAGGAAAAGAGAGAAAGAGCCATGGGAACCTTTGGGGACAAACCCACTGAGGCCCAAATGATGGCTTCGCCGGGACCAGACTCTGTTCCTAGCTAGGGTGAGCTTTCTTTCTTCCCAGTCTACCATTCAGGTCCCCAGAGTGCACCCCTCCCGCTCCCAGAAGAGCCATTGCAGGCGGGGGTGGGGGAAACGGAGGATAAAAACCGAGACAGAGGAGAAATCAGGCTCGGAGGACCTGATGGCAGATTGGAGCCTCCTGCCTAGGCTCGTCCCCTTAGTGTTCTTGAACACAACTGGAATGAGGGTGAGGCAAGGGAGGCACCCCTGAGGGCACAGATTTAAGGAGGCACCCCCCCTGGAGGTTTAGGGTGCGGGCGGGCTCCTGAGAGGGAGGGTCTCCTTGCATTGCCCTAGTCCCAGGCCTGCGCTCTCGCCCTAGGAGCCCTCCCCTGTCCTAGGGTAGGCCTGGGCACTCCCCATTACCTCATAGCCTGACACCCCTGACATCACCCTCACTGTGCACTAGGTCAGTGCTGACTTCCTCCCAGCTGGGATAGAAGTGGCAGAGGCAGGGGTCTCCTTCCTCAGAGCACGAGGTAGGGTGTAGATGCTGAGTAAATAAATAGCTGATAAATGAATAAATGACTGTTTCTCCCTCCTTCCTCACTCCCAAGTCTGAATTCTTCCCTGTAGACATGGCCAGTTGCTGTGGCCACCTCGGGGTTGCTCGATTTACCTCGAACCCCATTTGATCCTCAGGCTCTCCACCTGAGAGTGAATTTGCACAATTGGTGTGTGTTTGTTCTTACATCCTCTGATACGAAGCCCTGCTTCTCTCTCCAGCTTGATGCTGACTCCTTGAGGGCAGAGACCAAGCTTGGCCTGGAATTCCTTATCTGCCCTGTAGTACCCAGGCCAGGGTAGCCCTCAGTATATGCCCTAATGCCTGTCTGAAGACTTTGGACTGTCCTTCCTATTGCTTTATTTCTGGTTGTGGACCGGGTGATCCAAGTCACATGTCTACAGCGACAGAACGGAGCTAAAGCCTGAGTCCTGCATCCCAGACGCAGTGGGATTTCCTCCTCCTGCTTAGTAGTTTCATCAGGCAAATTATGAAGGCACAGTGCTCTCCACCTCACGCATTTAGGTGCGGCCTGGTGGGGGCTTCTCAGCTTTCTCATACACCAGGCGTATGTCCACCAACTCCATCGAATGTGAGGACACATGTGAGCAGGTGGGTATGTATATAGTATGTGTTGGGGATGTGTGGGTGTGGTGTCTGCTGCATATGAATGTGTGGGTGCCTGGGGAAGTGTGAGGGTGTACGTGTATTCTATTAGTAGAGGGTATACGCGGCTCTTGTCGGTTATGAGCATAGGTTGGAGGGGGCAGTGCTCGCTGGGTGTGTGTGTCTGCTGGGTGTGGGTGTGTTTGCAGTACCTCTTGCCTTGTGTCTGTGTGTGCAGTGTTTGCCGAGGGTGAGGGTAGGTGGTGTCTGTGGGGAGGGATGTGTCGGTCGAGTGTCTGCAGTGTTGACTGGGATGTGTGTGCATGATGTCTGCTCTGTGTGCATAATGGCTGGAGTGTCTATGGGTTGTTTGGTGATACTGCCTTCCGATGTCCCCAGCCAGTGACCCTGTGCGTGGCCAGAGGATGCTGTCCCTAGGCCTAGGCTGGCTCGGGAGCCGTGCAAGGAGGGTCTGGGAAGTCCGGTGTCTCAGGAGGTCAGGAAGCAGTAACTACTTACTGTGACCAGAGGCGTGGAGACCCAGGCAGGGACAGGGGCTGGCTGCAGTGAGTGGACAGAAGCCAGTGCCTGGGGACTTTGGCTCCTGATGAGTACAGATGGCAAGGCTCCAAGCTCCACACAGACCCAGGATGGGGGAGAGGAGTGGACACGTCAAGTCTGGGTCTCGACCCAGTCAACACATTCACGCTTAGGACAGTTCAGGAGAGGAGCCCTGGGAGAAGGATGAGCTCAGAGGGCTAGGGCAGGTGGGGCAGAGAAGTGAGTCAGCTCTGAGCACTGGTCCGCTTGGGACCCTTCTGGGCAGAGGCAGCTCCACACTCGGTGAAGGCAGCAGGGGCTGTATTTCAGCCCTTGCCCACCGGGCCAGTGCCTTTGTGCAGTGTACAACCTGCCCATGGGCACGCCATGACTCTGGACACTGGGAACCTGCGGCTTCCGCTTGCTCTGGTGTAGAGAAGACAGCTTCCTTAGGCTCTGGAGGAACAGGAAGGCCTGGCTGGCTGGGGGGAGGATGGCTTTGGGTCAGGATAGCTGGAGGCCTGTTGGCTGGGTGTATGGTCTCCTAGGTCCTGGGCTGACCTTCACAGGAAGGCAAGGCAGAAGGTACCAGCAACCAGAGGGCCAGAATAGCCACTCATTTCCTAGGGAAGAGCTATGACAGGAAAGAGATGATAAAAAGGTAGAAGGGGGGCTGACCAAAAAAGGCATTCAGAAAGGAGCTTGCTAGAGGAGAGGAGAGAAGCCTCCCAAACAGTAATATCACCAAGATGACCCACTAACTGGATTCACCACCTCCATCTACCAACTTCTGTCCTCATTTCTGTCGTTTGATTCTGGGAACTGAACTAAAACAACTTTAAGATTCATTTACCTGTGACTTGGACCACAGACAGAACTGGCCTGGTGACAGCCTGACCCACGGACAGCTCACACTAGCTCCTGCCCTCAGTCGCAGGGAGGCTCAGTGGAGTGGAAACCCAGCCCAGGGCCCACAGTCCCCTGTCTGGAACACTGTTCTCACAAGTGAACAAAGGCTTGAAAGGATGGTTACAAACTTTTAGCTCCAGGGAGGGCTTTGTCTTTCTAATTCTAATCATAGAATCAAATTTGGAGCTCACTTCTCTAAGAAAGACTTCCAAGGCTGAGATTCTGGGGAAGCCCAGCCAAACTCCAGAGCTTTTATGAGTAACTTGCAACCATTTCTTTGGTCATTGGGGCCTTTAGGACAGTGTAGGGCAAGAGGCAGAGAATTCCAGACCTTTGGATGTCAGGAGAATATGGAGGAGGGAGCCGGCTGCCTCAGCACTGAGGAGGGAGTGGGGCAGTGGTGAGCAAGACTTTTCACCCCTTCAATAAAACAAAAAAAATTATTTCTCCTATTTCCTTCGCTAAGATTAACGATAAACTGTCTATCCCCTAAAAGAAAATGATAAAGACTCTAATTTTACTTGGAGGCTTAGAAATGCCATTTCTACGCAAAACAGGGAACCCATAATCAGACTTGAGCGGGGCAGAGCTTTGATAGAAAATGTTTTCCTCTCTCCTATTTCTTCCCCTCCTTTCCCTGCGAACCGAGATGCCCGACAGCTAAGAACAATGCTCAATAAAGTGAAATAATATTTTAGTCAAAATGGGTCGAGACTGCTCCCAGCCAACTGTAAATTAGCATTTTGAGGGCAAATATGCAGACAATTTGAGATAATGAAGCCTGATTATTCAATCCAATGAATGTTAACTAGGGAGCAGAGGCTCCACTGCCTTATCTCACTCTCTTCGATTTATTTTTTTAATCGTTTCACATTTGAACTCTTTATTTGTTTCTGTTTTATGTGCCCCCTCCCTCTGTCTCTCTCACACACACACGCACACACACACACACACAGACACCCTTGGTCTCCCTCCCTTCTCTCCCCGCTCCACGCCTGCCCAGGCGGCAGAAGAGAACCGTTGGAGATAGTCCTCCTGGCCTGGCCTTCACGCTGGCTCAGCAAGCCCCATGGAGCACCCACTGTGTGCATGGCTCTTTGTGGAGCTGGCAGGGGTGGGAAGGCCCAAGTGCACTGAACAGTTGATACAGGCCCTGCTTCTCGGAGCTTAGAGCTGGGCTGGATACAGGATATGGGAGAGTCACGCACATTTACAAGAAATATACGGGGTGTATGGGAGGGGGAGGAAGCCAAAATAACAGGAGGAATGCCTTCCAAGGCCTTCAGCCACCCTCCCTGAAAGATCCATGGGGAGCCCCCACCCCGATGCCCAGGAATCTTGGAAAACCTTTCGTCAATTATTCATCATTCCAGGCAGCACTAGCTTCATGATTTGTGGGCCCAGTGCAAAGTGAAAGATGCAGTTCAGTTCAGTTGCTCAGTCATGTCTGACTCTTTGTGACCCCATGGACTGCAGCATGCCATGCTTCCCTGTCCATGACCAACTCCTAGAGCTTACTCAAACTCATGTCCATAGAGTCAGTGATGCCATCCAAC